TTCTCACCTCAGGACAGAGGGTGCTCTGGAAACTCCCTGCCCCTTCCGCCACTATGCTCTGATAAACAAGCCTGAGTGCAGTGCTGGCTGATAAATATTTTTTAAACAAGACTTTTAATTCCTAGGCTTTATTTATTTGTTTTTATTGTTGTTCAATTTCAGTTGTCCCACATTTTCCCCCGTTGCTCTACCCTGACCCCCACAGTCCACCACCATTCCGCTGTCGGCGCCCTTGGGTCCTCTATTCACGTTCCTTGACTGGACCCTCCCGCTTCTTTCCTTCCCATCACCCACCCCCAGCCCCTCTGGTACTGTCAGTTTGTTCTTTAGAATAGCCCTGTCTCTGCCTCTATTTGCTTGTTTGTTTGTTTTGTTGCTTAGATTCCACTTATAGGCGCAATCATAGGGGTGTGGCCAGAGCCAGCTTGCCAGCTGAGAGCTTGGAATCATCTGTGAGGGGAATTTTCACACCATGGAAATTAGCAAATGCTACAAATTAGGACTTTTTTCCCCTCAGAAAGCTGCTTTTCAGCACTCCACTGGGGATTTGTTACTCATCCCTTTCTCCCTGAGACTCTGGTGTGTGATCATAGAAATGGAAAATAATTGGGCTGTCAGAATGATTCATTTTTTCAATCCTGACTCTGGACATTAGGCCAAAATCTCTTTCCTTAGGGATCTCTCTTTTTGGAAGACTCCTAGATTCTTAATTAAAACAGTATTCATGTGGCTCCTTCTACCCCAGAAGGGTCCCAGATTCTCTCTACCCTACGCATGGAGTTCAGACGATTTGGGTTGTACATTTGGTACCACTGTTAGACTCTTGGTTTCCTCAGGGAGATACACACAGGGTCCTTTTTGTGTACCTGCATCCCCAAACACATATCTTCCAAATCTTCCAATTTCCCACACATGCCTTCAAAGAAATGATGAGAGAAAGAAAGAAAGAGAGAGAGAGAGAAAAGGGAAAGGAAAAAGAGAGAGAAGTCCCTCACAGTTTGGGATCTCAGTCTAGGATAAGCAGCTAGTGGCACACTTTCATTAGAACTGCAGCGAACCGTTTACCAATCCGCTAACTGCTTTCTGCTCAACCTCCTTCCACTTCCCATGCCACGCATGCCAGAGCGATTGAATGGGATGAGGAAATCACTTTAGCACTTGCATACTGAGATACTTTAGTACTGAGAAGAAATAACTAGAAGCATAATAATTTTTTTATAAGAACAATTTGATATAACTTAGTTCTTTTGAACTCTTCAATGGGCTTTATATCTTACGACATGCCTTGAGGTATTACAGAAAAGCTAAAGTGTTTTACTTAAGTTAAGCTAATTAAAAGCTTTAGAAATTCAATATTCCATTTTTATGACCTCAGTTAAATGCCTTAGTTGTATTATGTCAGTCTTCAAAATGAATCACTGTTTAAACTGAATTAGACTCCAAAGTGTTACAAATTTACTATGAAACTTACCCACTCTGGCAACATAATAGGGTTACTAAAAATAAGGTTAACGCCTTATTTGTAAGGTTCCCTTGGAGAAGAAACACCAAGGTTCCTGCAATTTCTTTCTCTGTTTAAAAAATAGTTACAATAATTTCCACTCTTTACTTTAGATGTATTATACAATATGTAGCAACCTCATGCTTCTCCCCAAAAGGCAGGTAGTTGAAACCTGAACCCTTGACCGTATTAACCAGTACAGTACAGGGGACCTCCACGCTCATAACCTGCTATGCCCATAATGATCAGCATCTTCACAAATAAAAATCCGGGTCACCAACAGTATCTTGGTAGGAGTTCATGTTTTTGACAGAATTATTGCACAGCCTCTTCGTGCCAAGCACTGTGCTATATGCAATAGGGGTGAAGTGATAAATGAGACTCTCCTGGTCTTCAGGGTGTGTCCATCGTGGGAGGAAGAGAAACATCAAATGGGCACAACGCAGCCTGTGAGGACCTGAGCAGTGGCAAGTGCAGCACGGGCCCCAGGCCAGAAAAGGGGCACTAATCTACCTGGGAAATAGGACAAGAAAGTTTACCAAAATCTGTGCAGAATGACTTCAGCCACTGATAAACTTGGCTCAAAGCTGTCTCCACACCTGGTCAAAAGAGCAAGCAGAATGAAAGATGCATACGCTTTGTTGGTGGCTAATCACCCCCTCCTATGGTCATGCTCCTCAGGGTTGGTGCCATCGCTACAGAGGATGCGATGGATGTGTAGTCAGCATTTGCAGTGGAGGCCAAAGAGACTGTCTGGTTTGTCTTCTAATGGCCCTCTAATGTCCAAAGAGGTGTGGTATTTAGTTGTATTAAAGTATCTCTTAGTTTTCTTTACACTCAGAATGATAGTTCCTAACTTTTCAAAATTGTGAACTTTCTTTCCTCCTAACATTAGGACTGAGCATGTAATCTACATTTAAAATAAATGTATTTCCAGTCAAGCTTTTCAGAAATACGTGACCGTCCAAGTACAATGTGGTAAGACCACTCCACATGCAGTTGAATAAACTCTCCTAGAACTCTCTGGAGAAGCATTTAGAATAGATGTCAATCCCCTGCTTAGTTCATTAGAGTAGAGATCTCCTTTTAGTAGACTACTGCATTCTTTCTGCAGTGATAGACTCCTAAGAGATGATTTTCAAATAGTGCAAACACTTTTTGTTCTTTTTTTTCCTTAATGATTTTGGAAGAATACATTGTTTCTATGTATAGGTCAAGTATGTTTTCTTATCATGTATTATTTTAAGCATTAATTATCCTTCAGTTATTTACGTAGCTTTATTCCTTCCAGGACTGATTTCTTAAAAAAAAAAGTATTAATTCAAGTCATTTTGGAAATTACCTAAAAGTCATTGAAAATACTTTGAGTCTGTTTAGCACATCGTGTGGAACTTCTCAAAAGTCTTCGTAATGAACCAATGACCTTGTTCATTCTCGTTGGATGTACAAAGAACAGTCAAACAGGTGACCTCAGAGGTCTTGTCTTTGTAAACCTTATTTTTACTATCTCTGGCCTAACGATAACTCCAAGAAAAAGTCCCACCCAGAAAAACCTTATTCCTAGATTTTTCTACCAGGAATTAAAGGTAGATGTGGACGCAGACCCTTATCGAGTGAACTCTTCCTCAGAGGACGACTGAGAGGAAGCCAGCTCTCAGGTGCCTTAGCAAGTCTTCAAATTTGAAGGGTGATTGTATTTTTTTTTTGCCAGCAGCTCATTAGACTTACTAAGATTTTAAACAAAAATGATTTTTAAATAGCACTTTGCAAGAGATTCAAGGGACTTACAAAGAGAACTAGATGGTGATCATCGTGTAACACTGAACCATGTATCTGAGGGTGACTGCAGTACTAGCTACTAAGGAGACTTTAAAAGAACAATCTGTGTCCTTTTAATAATGGTAGAGTGACACAGGGGTGGTTCTTCAGGAGGCAGGGAAATGCAGAGTGACTGCTCAGGGGTTCTTTAATTTTGAAATTCTATGACAAATGAATCCCTTTTTCTTTAAAATTGTTTACAACAAGACTCAAGGCCCAGTGTATGCAACTTACTAACAGGCTTATAAAAATTTGTTTGGTTACTTCTAACAATAGTTAGCAAGCTTAAGCAAGGCAGAAGTCTGGAAATTGTTCTCGAATTAGGGGATAGGCCTTGTACATGCTGGTTTCTGAACCTCAAGTTGCTATGTGAACTTCATTCAGCAGAAATGTAATGTTGTCAAATGGAGAAAGTGCTATTACCCAATCTCTCCGTACACATGTACTTGTTACCATAAAACCCCAAGGCCTGACAAACAGAGGGCTTCGTCCTATTTTATGGGTTGGCAGTGTTTGCCATGCAGGTAGAATTTCATACCATGCTCAGTCCCAGCATTCTGAAAAACTAGGGGCTTTGCAAAAGGCCAGATCTCAAAGAAGTTACTACAAATAAATGTGCCATTTTATAAAATTACACCTACTGTATCAGAAAAAATGTCCTTTAGTGTGAGTGACATTTATGAGACTGCCATTTATGGGGAATAGGACATTCTGACATAGCAAGGGAGGTGGTTGTGGAAGCTGAGAGTGTTCTCTGAATGATAAATATGATAGAAGTCTAAGATACTCATATGGGAAGAGACTCTCCATTACTGGGTAGTTTTCCTATAAAAATGAAACCTGCATTATTATGAAGACAGTAATTACTTGGTCATACCTATAACATTAATAAGGTTGTCAAAATATTCATACCTGCAAGCATCTTTAGTTATGAATTTTCACCTTGTTAGAGTTGGACTTTGTGGGTCCTTAGGCCAATACCCTTTTATTTTACATACGTGGAAACTGGGGCTGAGGTGTGGAGCTTCTAGTTAGAACTAGGAATAGAATTCTCCAACCCCCTCTCCAGTTCTCCATCCAGAGAAAAAAACCACATTCTTGCCGCCTCTGGACACATGGAACCAAGGCTTAATTTACTCTTCATAATAAATGTGTATTTCAAATAACATTTCTCTGGCAAAGTAATCGCCAAACTATAGAAGGAAATTTAAATCAAGATCAAGATGGAATCGATTGCATATATCAGGACAAATTTCAGCTCTTGGGCAAGAAGTGACCTCAGATCTGAGACTGCAGAGATTGCCCAAACCGCATTCTTCTAGGTTCCCTTTTCACGGGCACCACGAGATTGCGCTTCTCCAGGAGTAAAATACAGAGAGGAATCCAAATCCCTAACTTTTTCCCTTGGAACTTCTCTGCACCTTGGTGTGGAGATAAGTGATAAAAAGCCAGGAAGCTAGAAGCTTGCTGAATTGCTTAACAGATTGAGTGGCACCCTTGCCTGGCCTTTCCAGGAGCAGGGTGTGGGGGCGCACTGGGAAATTTGCCAGCTCCTTCTTCCAGAGCCAGCGAGCTTGGGAGTGGGGTCCTGAAAGGAGGTCCTCAAGGTTGGCTGAAGCAGATAAGGGAGGCGGGCCCTGTGGCGGAAAGTACAAGGCAAATAGCCAGCAACGTGACCCACCTGCGGCAGGGGTGCTTCCAAGCTGCTACGGTCTAGGAGAGTTGCAGCTTGGCGCGCAGCTGGCTGGGCTGGGTGGGTGACGCTTCGCAGCGGTGCAGCTCAGGGTTGAGGCTCGTGCTTCTCACCCGTATAAGAAGGCAGAGAGGGGAGGGAGGGCGCGCTGGATTTCGCAAGAGAAGCGGTGGAGAAAGCGTTTCCAGGAAGACTTCAAATTGGGAATCCCGGGCAGCAGGAAGGACCAGAACTTCCTGTTCTGCCAATGCAGTTTTTGCTACTCGGTTGCCGCTAATCTCTGGCTAGTGAAGTTTCTAGGGGTTTTCCCCAGAGCCCTTGGGATCTGTGCATCCCAGGCGGGGCGGGGCTTGGAGACGCTGAGGAGGACACCTTTACCGAGGGCTTTGAGTAGCTGGGGAAACACCACCTGGTCTAGGCTTCTAGGTATTTCTCTTCTTGCCTTCTTGTCTCAATTTACTGTAAAAGGCGAGAGCTTTCTCCCTCTACCTGGAAGCCCTGGGCTCCTATGGGGCTCAGCTTGGATGATCTTGATGTTTTAATTTAGGCAGAATTAAATTGGTCAAAAGAAACAAATTAAATGAAGGAGAAGGATGATGATGAGGATACCTTATTGTTGATATATAACTATATAATACTGCATAATAATATGCAGTAATATACAGGGTCTGGCAGAGGTAACGCCTTGAATGTGGTTGGTAGGGTAATGATACAGGTGTAATAATTTACAATTTTAATTTGAACATTTCTTCTACAATGTCATATGGTGTGCTTGAATGTGATATTGTTATATTACAGAATTACATGCTTATGATTTTGTAATAAAAAAGGGGTGCTATTTGTACCAGACCCTGTATATTGCATAATTGGACTGAAATCTCTCTATATTGAGGGAGCTCAAAAGCCACAGCTATTGTGGTTTAAGATTTAACTAATGATGATAATCTAAGAGGCAAAGCACCCCTGTACTCCCAAACTCTGGTCTAGAGCCCAGAGTCCTCCTGATCTGCCTCTCACCCACCCATCTGGTCTTAAGTTCCATGGCGCACTTGCCAAGGTCCAGATGTCCAGCCACACAGGAGGCCTGTTCCAGCACTTTTGAGTCAGCTTTCCCTTTGCCTGGATCACACCTCTCCCCAGAGTATCTCATGGAGTCAGCTCAGAGTCCATGTCTTCCAAGAAGTTTTCTCTGAGCCACTAGTTGCAATTAATCTTTTCTTTTTCCATGTAGCATAGTTTGTGCTTCTAATACAGCAATAGGACAAATCGCCTCTTAAAAGAGTTATTGTGTGAGTTATCTCCTGTCCTGGACTACAGGCTCTGGCGTTTGACACCCTATCCTTTTCAGCCTGGAATTTTCCACCACACCTAGCACAATGCTCAATATGTATTTCAGTCACTGACAAGTCTACTTCCAATTAGCATATTATTGCTTGCAAAAAAGGTCATCTGATAGTATTCCTGGGGCAAGGAAGAACTTAAAAGGTATTTATTGATTTTATAGCAGCAGTTTCCCCAGATTGAAGACTGACAAAGTGAGACAAGGGCATGAAACTAGGAAACATAAGGCCCCTGGGGCATCCCTAAGAGGCCTCAGCTTTTGTCAGCACAGTCTTGTGACTACCCCTGGTCTAGTGTCTGGCTCTAAGCCCTGTGGGCACAGAAGCTTGACTCAGTGTATTGAACCCCATACAAAAACCAGGATGCTGATTTGTTAGTTGTCAAAGAAATATAAGCAAATAGTTACTGTTAAATCACAGCATGAGACATTGTAGCCATTACATCCTCTCCTTGTAGGCACATTCTGTGGAAGCCATTTTGTGCAGACAGCTGCTCCCTAAACAGGGGAGTGAGTTGCAAATTCCAAGGTTGCACATCTATCACATCATGGAGATACATGCAGCACCAGAAGCAAACAGTTGGAGTCTGTGGGCCAAGGTCACTCTGGTTTCTGGGTTATGTTTGTACCCATTATAAGTTGACTTAATGGAGAATCATATTTCCAAATGTGGCCTCCAACTAATAATAAAATCATTGCTTTATATAGGTATCAATATTAGGTGGACAAATATTTTAAAACCTCATTATTATGAGAGGCAAGTATATTTCAATTATGTAAGGTCTTTTTTTGGCAAATGCAACTAGAGTCCCAGAAAGAGAAGATTAAGTTACTGGTATATGAAGGAGAAAAAATTTCTTTATTAGTACCAAACAAGAGGTATTTGACTTGTTTATCTTGTGGTGTAAAGATGATTATTCCCTTAGTCCTAGGAGGGACACGTAGTTCATAACTCTCCTAGTGTGTCCTTAAACCTGTGCTGTAGGGGAAATTAGCTTTCAAAGATGCCAGCAACCCAAATACCCAAGAACTTGCCTTGGCAGGATTCATCCTTCTCCCTGAAGTCTTACCAGAACTCTGAATAAACCTTCCCAGATGCTGCACATCAACAAAGAATTCCTGTTTAGGAATTTCCACATTTTCTGTGCCCTGAGTCTTTCTTGCTACATCCTTACTCTCAAAATTGATCCTACATGAACCAGACAATGAATGTCTTCTTGAATATTGCCCCCATGGGGCTTCCTTGACCTCCTCGTGTTTTAGCCTTGCAGAATCCATTTCCTTTTTTGCTAATCATATTTTCATTTTTCTTTGAGAAATACCCTTGCACAATCTCAGTTCTTGCAGTCCAGGTGGAAGGGACACATTGCTGGGCTTTCAGGAATAGACCCATGACTTAGGCCTGACCATTCAAAGCACACAGCCTTGTCCACAGTGATTGGTTCAGTGATGACATATGACCTAAGCTGGACCAATAGGAATCTTTCCTGGAACAACCCAGAAAGAAATACACGCTTCAAGGAGGGTTGTTGAGCTTCTAGAATATAAACCAGCTAGCTGCGAGGAGAGAGCCAGCCTGAGGAAGAAGCCACTTCAAGGGAAAGGAGAGCAAAGTGATGGGAAGGGACAGATTTCTGAAATTGTTGGAACTCCGTACCTGAATAAGGCTCTATAGTTACAGGAGTCAATAATTTGGTGTCTGTTATTTGTACAGTCCTACCTAGTAAAATGGGATTGGGCAGAACGAGAATGGCACCTGCTCAGTCTTGCTTCTCCAATTATACTACCTACTAAGGTGGCTTCATCACAGTGTGCAATCAGAATGAGAATGCAATTTGTTGTTAAAAAAGTGTTTTTTAGGTTTTCTTGTAGCAGGTGTGGGATTTGGGTAAACAATTAGTTTCCTTTTATTCCCCTTTATTTTTGTTGTTGACAGCATTACAGATATCCTCATTTCTGTGCCCCCCTCTGCCTGCCTCTACCCAGCCTCCATCCTCTGGCCAACATCACACTGCTGTCTGCGTCTATGGCTTATGCGTACATGTTCTTTGGCTGAAGTTTCTCAACAACAACTTCTCCTCCTCTTCCTTCTTCATCCTCACCTGATGATATCCCCGCCCCCATTGCTTTTAGAAAAAGAGGAAGGGAGAGAGGAAAGGAGAGAGAAAAACATAGATGTGAGAGAGAAGCATTGATTGGTTGCCTCCTTTATGTGCCCAAACCAGTAGGGATTGATCCTGAAACCTAGCATTGTGCCTTGACCTGACTGGGAATCAAACCCTCAATCTTTGGTTTATGGGATGACGCTCCAATCAACTGAGCCCCACTGGCCAGGGCAGAATTTTCTCAGCTTCCTGCTAGTAGACTTGGAAATTTAATTTCTGGTCCCAGAAAACTTCTTTTCCTACTACTTTCCTACTGTATGGGAAATGAGCTAAGAGAATCCCCTCACCCCTGCAGAAATGTGAAATTGCAAAAGGTATAGTAAAGAAACCCAGGCCATTAACCTGGCTTTACCCCGTTCCTAGGATTCCTGCCAACACAGAACAGGAAGCAAATTCAAACAACATTTTGCCACCCACCTGTACCTAAAAAAAGTCCTGATGGGAAAATATGCCAGACACTGGCAGTATTGGAGGTTGGGTTAGGTGATGATGTCAGGCATGACAATAAAGAATCTAAAAATAAGACATGCCTTAAAGAACCTAACTCTGTCACTAGAAATTCAAGACAGGGTTAAAGTGGAAAAATTGAGTATATGTGTAAGATGAATGAATAAAAATATTTTAAAAAGTCACTGACTAGAAGTGAAAGGAAGCTACTTCTGGGAATTGGAAGTGAGCACACACACACACACACACACACACACACACACACATCCCTGTCCTGTTTATCTTATCTCTAACTCTCTGAATCTCAAAGTCTTTGTTAATTTTGGAAGCTCCTGGGGTAACGGCAGGCTATGGACTGACTGATCACTGCTAGAAAACTGGACATCACCCAAGAGACACCCGGTGACCTCAAAGGAGGTGTTATGATGTTATCAAAGAACATGATGTTCAAAATAGTTTGAAGAGATGGAGAAACATTTAAGTTAAATTGATTCACCCATGGGTGGTGGTTACTGTTACTACTGGAAGTATTAGTGGTAAACAGTTCCAGCATCCTGCCAACCTGTGCCGAGTGCCAGTATGGGAGATTTGGTGGGATTTCCACATACAAAGGAGGGGCCAAAAAATTAGAGTGAATGTAGCTTCATTCTTTGACCTGTTCACCTTTCAACAGAATTAGGAATGAGGTGAGTATAAAGTAGGTCCTAAGAGGAACAGAAAATGATAGGAACAATGAAATAATTCTTTAAAGTAAAAACTTCATGTTAAAGAATTAAAATATCTGAAAAATTGATGCACAGGTGGAAAATTCAAGATATGAAGGGGATCCATTAAGAAGTATTTTTCCCCAGACACTGAATTCTCCTTACTGGAGGCAACCGTGCTGATGATTTACTGGGCTCCTTACATAGACAGGCTATGTGTGTAAAAGCAAATGTACTTGTTCTTCACAAATACAAGTGGGAGGTAGTGCAGGGTGTCAAATGTATGAGTATGATGATGGAAATAGATTTGACTTCAGGTGATGAACACAGTGCAGCATACAGATGATGTATCATAGAACTGTACACTTGAAACCTACATAATTTTATTAAGCCATGTCACCCCAATAAATTTAATATAAAAAAGAACTTAAGCCTCCCTTCCCCCACCCCCAAATACAAGTGGCAGTCTACTAGTCCCACCCT